CTGTTTAAATTTTGACTTTTCGTTTTATGTTTCGAGTAAAGTTTCTGATGTTTAAGGTGACGTACGTTTGATTATCTTTAATTTGATAAAAGCTTTTAATCTTGTCCATTTTGACTTTTGTTTCTTCACATCGTTCGTTTTAGTTTTCACGTACAATCTCACACATGCACCGAACTTAATTGATTGCCCATTTCTTCGATTGGTAACCACACGCTGTTAACGCTTTATTTATACCATCATTAGTAGAATATAATTTTTTAAAAAGTCTACCACCTATTGACTAATAAATAGCCTTAACGTTTACAAAACCCTTGAGTTACGTAATTAACTACAACTATACATTAAAGTTTGAACACTCATAAAAACGACCAGACATTAATAGCCCATCGTGACATGATACAATTTGTATCAATAACAAAGAGCTAGTTATGACTACACAATGCACACAGCCAGTTTTTGTTAGCCAAGTAGTTAGCAGATGGTGATAACAAAGAACGCAAAATACATTTTATATTTAAAAAACTGAAAAACATTAATGGCTTAATATCACGATATATTTATTTGAACATGACGAAAACTATGACTTGAAATCATAGGCTTATCAACATTAAAAACCATACTCTTTCTAATTTATTGTTTCCTTTCGACTTGCTTCAATGGCCAATACTATCATTAACAAACACTGTATATAGATAATGACCACTACTCAAAAACTTACTCAATTCACAAACCTATAGCTGAAACAATATAAGGACGTCTAATCCCAGTTTGCCCCAGAAGAAGAAAGGTCCACCTTTCGAAAACGCTCGACTTTTTTAATCTACGTGTTTTTCTAACATCATGAATTAACAAACACTGTATATAGATAATGACCACTACCCAAGAACTTACTCAATACTTTCCTTAACATACACTGTATCAGTTAATGACCATTACCACCGAACAACTTACTCAGTACTTCCATAAAATACACTATAACAATTAATAACTAATACTCAACAACTTACTCATTAAAAAACACTGTAACAGTTAATGAGCAGTACTGAACAACTTACTCAATTCACAAACCTATAGCTGAAACAATAAAAGGACGACCAATCCCCATTATAAGTTTGTGAAATGTGGAAATACAACAGGAAAACATTACCAATACACATTTATAGTGACGTCAAGAAACATTGTCATAAATCATCTAGTAGACGTAATGTGAAACACCATCAGCATCAGCTTGTCTGGAAGAAATACATTAAAAAGTGTCTATCAACTAACATACTATGTTAGTGATATTTCGAATAATAGTTAGTTCAAGCAGTTATGTTAAAAGTTTTATTTTATGCAGATATTTGTGTAATAGAAAATATACCACTCTTCTCCTGATATCTTTAGATTGGCTTTCATAAGCAACATTAATTAATTATTTAAGAGAAAAAGAAAATAAACAGATAAAACATTTAAAAGAGCAGTTTTATCTTCTTTAAAAATCAGATACATAGAATGTATAAGAAAATATTGGAAGATTAAAACATGTGATCCGATCTATGACATATATGTGCTAATACCATAAATTATAAAACGTATACATATATACTAAGGCTGTAACTCTACGCTTACTTCACGATTCGATACGTTACATATGACTATGTTAAGTTGTTGGTCTAGCCAACACAAACGATCAATACTGCATCCACGAAGAAATACCAAATATATTTTTAAAATGTAACTGTTGATCATCTGAAGCATTAATGTTATAGCAAAAATTACCAAAGTCACTCTTTAATATGAAAGATTCGTATAAACTTCTTTGTCCACAAATGTTGCCAAAATTGCGGGCTGTTACTCTAAATAACAAGACAGCATTGTCAAAAATATAATTCCACTTAGTTGGAAAGCCTCGAATCAGCTTGCGCTCAGGAAGTTTAAGATTCCACTTAGTTGGGAAGCCTTAAATCAGTTTGCGCTGAGAAAGTTTTAGATTCCACTTAGTTGGGATGTCTTGAATCAGCTTGCGCTGAGGAAGTTTAAGATTCCACTTAGTTGGGAAGTATTGAATCAGCTTGCGCTGAGAAAGCTTAAGATTCCACTTAGTTGGGATGTCTTGAATCAGTTTGCGCTGAGGAAGTTTAAGATTCCACTTAGTTGGGAAGTATTGAATCAGCTTGCGCTGAGAAAGCTTAAGATTCCACTTAGTTGGGATGTCTTGAATCAGTTTGCGCTGAGGAAGTTTTAGCAGAAGCTTATTTGCTTTCAGTTTAGCGTTTGCCGTTGAACTTTTTTTGGGAAAAGAAAATTTTTCTTTTTATCCGCCCTAATAACCTATCCTCTTGCGACACACGAAGTCCTTTCTGAGCAACCAGATTATCAGTGTGTGCAAAACATCACACATAGGGTCAGAGTTCTACCAGTTTTATCGTATTGCAAGTATAATTTGTGTTATCAGTTGTAATAGCTGTGTTCTTACACTTTTTCAAGTCCCAAGAATATACAGCCTCCTTCAGCACATTCGCCATATGCGATTCATTTAACTGTCTTGTTTATAGAAAGGAATTTCACGTTTCACAGTGTTCCTTTACAGAGTGTCCACTAATAGTGATGTACCTTCCAGTAGATCTCGAAGTCCACGATCTCTGGTATGAGCAACAGAAGAAGCGATTTTCAGTTCAGTGTCAAGCTTGTTCTTTTCATCTTTGTACAGATCTAGAATTACTATAGTACTGAAGTGAGTCTCAAAAGGGATCTCATATCTTGATTCCAAAACCTTAAGCAAAGTCCTAATACCAGATTATCCACCACTGAAAATGGTCTCATATCTTTAGCCACAAAGACTTCAATAGTTCTTTTTATCTCTTTTGCTCTTTGATTCTTCGGATTTAATTTCGTTGAGAGATTATCTTTAATTTTCTTCACGTATTGTATCCTATTTTATTCTTCTCGCTTTATAACCGACCTCCACCTCGTAAGTTTTACATGTTGTTTTCGAACGATCAGTGTTTCTTACTTCATTTTGATCCAAAAGTTCAAACTCAAAACATTTCCGAACAACTGATTTGTATGATAACGGTGCGCCCTCTATTTTGCGCTTCTATGAATCAGCCATTGTTGACACAACAAGTGGTGGTTTGATTTACCGTTTATTGAATAATTTGATACACGGTAGTCACGAGAAATTACAAACTCAACTAACGGAATTTCTAACCTGCGTTATCAAAAATATAGAAATCTATATTTAGAACGGTTATAAGGTCGAGACTGATCACGTGCTTGTATGGAAAAAGTAAATTTGTGATTTATATTATTATTTGAAGCGTTTGTTTTTATATAACATGTAAAGGGACTAAGGAAAATAAGAAGAAAAAAATACAGCATAAACGTGTATCGAGACTTATGACCAATGAATCGTAATTTCGATGAATAGTTACAGCCCTAATATATTCATAAAAGAACATGACCAATGATTTACGTTGAAATGATATTTATATACCCTATAGATTTTAAAGGATACAGTTTCCGAAAAGAACAAGAATGATGAAGTATAGGCTATAAATCATGCCACCATGGATACCCCCCTGAGATTCGATTCCCCTGTACATTACCTCGTTCCAATCTTCCCCCGTAAGGATCTATACAGACAAAGAAAACTCGAGCTAAAACTCGTGTGTAGTTTATGTAATATAACAAAAAACAAAAACAAAAAAGGAAACAACGAACAGACACAAAAGTTTGCTTTGTTTACTTAACCGGAGCAAGGATCACAATGTATTGTATTATAACACTGTTAATTGGTTTTACGTGAGAAAAAGGTTACAGTTAGAAATTATTCATTTCAACCACAGATCCTATTCAGGTGTTCTTTCAAATCATAGACTATTCCATACATAATTTTTCTTAATTTTTCGTGGTAGTATCTTCAAGACTTTGTCACAATTTAAATTTATTGTTGCCCTGATGAACTATTACATTATATATTCTCAGTTTTACTAAAACAATATACAAGCAACAACAGTTTGATTTGCTCTGAGGAATGTTAGTCATTCTCAATAAAAGACATACGTGGAAAATTTAAATAGAGTAATTTTTTATTTCATTCCTACACTTAAATCAATATCATCCTACCTGAAAGACGGTGAGCAACGCAATGGGGAAAGTGTTGAAATTGGCAGATGGTGTGCCATCGGGAAAATTGAAGCTGAAACAAGAAAGAAATATCCAGAAGAAAGGTGAGATGTTATACTGCAAGAAAACCGTAATTTGAATTCACCATTAAAATACTAGCTAACGCTTTCTTAACGAATAGTTTATTTTTTAATTATTTGTTTGAATGGATTAAAATATATAAATATCACTAAATCAATGAATTTAATCTAAGTTTTGATACGAACTTAGAAATAGACAAAATTTTAGGCGTAACTAATTCATCTTGAATAAAAAAAGAGCTTAGAGCTAACATTTATTGTGTGTGTTTCCCAGGTTGTTTTAACCTTCGAATATCTCATCTTTATCACGTTCTTCTTGAACACGTTTTAAGTTTTGGCTAGATCACCTTTGTTACTGTCTTTCTTGACAAATTTTAACTTTCCTTTCTGTGTTTACAGATTTTTATTAAAAACTGATATTTACTTCTTTTTAACTTTGTTATCAAAAGGGGTAAAAACTATTTTATAGAAGATTGAGAAATGTTGACAGAAGCAAGGGCCAATTAAGTATTTTTTGGAGAGATTTTTGTATGTTTATAAAACATTATAATGATTTCTGTTCTATGAACTCGTTAGCATAAGAGCTCATTTTTCTGTAATTACAGAAAAATATTATATTTTTTAACATAATAAATGGGAGAAGAAAATCTTTTGGCACAGAATAACTGGTAAAATAATATATTTTATTATAGAATAAAAGAAACAGGAATATATCTGTACATAATAAACGTGAGAACAATACCTTTAGAAGAGGGTAAATGGGAAAATAATACATTTAGTGTAGAATAAATAGGAGGTAATGTATATCTAATATATTACTTTTGAGTTAAGGAAAAGAAAAAAATCATTTCAATCCTTCATCTAACTTTATTGAAATAATGTAAGAAGATTCAAGCATGAAAATGTAATTATTTACAAACAGTGACACATTATTGTTCAAGAACATTAGACAACAATACTTTGTATAACTAGAAAATTCAATAACTTATGTCACCTTAGAATCACTCTTTGAATTATTTTACAGTTAAAACTCATAGAATAACTTACGCTCCGAGTTATGTTACAGCTAAAACACATAGAATAACTTACGCTCCGAGTTATGTTACAGTTAAAACTCATAGAATAACTTATGCTCCGAGTTATGTTACAGATAAAA